TTCAGTGGTCATCGTGCTTTTGGCTATTAATCTGGACTTCTGTGAGGTCCAAACTATACAGCACTATACCTGTGAGCTGCCCTCTCTCTTGCCCCTGTCTTGCTCTGATATCTCCATTCATATGGATATCTTGATCTGCTCTACCTTACTGCATGGGCTTGGAACCTTCCTCCCAATCTTTATCTCCTATGTCCGTATCATAGCCACCATCCTGAACATCAGCTCCACCACAGGCAGAAACAAGGCCTTTTCCACCTGCTCATCCCACCTCATTGCAGTGATCCTGTTCTTTGGTTCAGGTTTGGTTCGCTATCTCATGCCCACCTCTGGTTCCTCCCTTGATTTCCTTGCCTCCTTGCAGTACAGTGTGGTCTCGCCCATGCTGAATCCCCTCATCTACAGCCTAAAGAACAAAGATGTGAAGACAGCTTTGAAAAGAACACTAGAGAAGTATCTGTAATATTTTAGGGAATGAACAAGGACCTAGAATAATAAAAAATGAGTTTGTGTTGCCAAGTGTTTGAACTTAAAGGTAGAATTCTGGGCCAAAACTTGAGGCGGAACAAGTATGAACCTTTCCTTGGCTTTATTGGCAATGAAAAAGAAAATAAATGCAATAATGTCTAGTTTTATATCTGTAGATCTATGGTCTATATTTTCTTTGCTCTGCACTCTCCCACCACCACATTCCTTCTAAGGCTCGAATGTTGGATCTCCTGAGTGGATCACTTCTATATCTTATCTTTTCACCTTTATTATTTTTTTGTTATTGACTGGCTTTGTTGTGGATTATATCCAATCCATTGTCTCTCATAGCATTTTTACTATTTTCATTTCTTCTACTGGTTCTTATGTTTACAGTTTTTAACAATAATCTTTAAGACTATATTTATGAATTTTAACTTTAAAAACAAAATGATGTAGGTTGACACCTTCCGTGAAAAATGATAAGTTTATTTCACTTGAACAACCTCCCTAACTTCTACCGCTTCAAAGAACCCCTTCTTGTTTACTGCCTTCTAGGATTTTTGTCCCCGGATATTGTCAACAATATTATTATTATTTTTACATTGTATAACTTTTAAATAAACTAAAGTCTGCTTTTTAATCATGACTTCTATAGTATTTAGGTTTCATTCCACATTGAAGATTATTCTGTACTGCCTGGTTACCCTTTCACAGCACATTTTCCCATGTTTACTTCCCCTTTCCACAGTAAGGCATAATGGTTAGATGCATAGTCTCAAAGAGCCTGTGTTTGCCTCTGTTCAAACCCATATAGACTGTACAATTCAGCTAAGTCACTTCACTTCTCTGCCTTAGTTTCCTATATATAAAATTGGGATAGTAATAGTATCTGTATCATTGGGATATTATGAGGATTGAATAATATGGTGTGTGTAGGCACTTAGAATACTACTGGCCACCATTTGTGTGTCACTCATCATTATATATGAATTTTTTTATTTTATTCTCCTTTTATTTTGTTGCATTATATGCTTACCTATATTTTTTGAGAAATGTACATTATGACATATTCCAAGTCCTTGCATATCTGAGAATGTCTTTATTTAGACTCTACATATGAGTGAAAACTTGACTAGGTACAGAAATTGGGGGTCCCATGTTTTTTCTTTTGTATGTATTGTATATTGTCATCTGGAATCTAGTGCTCTTCAGGGGAAGTATAAGGACAGCATGGCTTTTTTTCTTCCAAAAAAAAAAGAAAGAAAGAAAACAAATAGCACCAAGAAAGCATGTTGTTATTTGCCACTGAGTCAGACCCAACTCATAGCGACTCCTCCTTGGGTCCCAGGCAGTATCACTACGGGAAAGGCATAAAGACAGTAAAAAATAAATAAATAAACAAAAGTAAGTTAAAAAAATAAAATCACAGAAAATCCAGTAAGTCTATATATTATAATAATACATACAAAATATAAAATCATTATTAAAAGGAAAAGACTAAGGTTGTGTCAAAAAAGTTTACTCACGTAGATTAAAAGTGTTTTGGTTGTACAAACTTGAAAATGTTCAACCTCACAGAATTCAAAAATATTAATACAACAAATTAAAATCTCTCTTCATAATGTGATAAAAATAATAAATACATAATAGATTACATCAAATAAATTTTAAAAACACAATCATCTGGAAATTTTTTATTATTCTACCAGAAATAGTTAGATCAAAAAAAGACTTTAAAACTCAAAATGAAAGTAACTAAATATAAAAACAGAGAAATACTGCACATCAAAACACATGATATGACCAAAACTGACCTGAACATGAGATGCATACTCTTAACTATTCATAGGACTAAACAGGAAATTTTTAAAAACTACAAGTCAGTGAATCCTATTGACTGGATTTTCAAATCACTATTTTCATAGTAATCAACCAATCCCTTGGAATACTGTAGCCCAGCCAATCATTCTGAGTGAGTTACTAGAGCATGGCTAGAAAGGCTTTATGAAAGTGATTTATTGCGCTGCAGGGAATCAGGGCCTCTCAGCTACTCTCCACTATAAAGCTGGGATGCACTGACCCACACACATCTTTTCAATCTCAGACCCTTTCTCTTGATTGTTGCTACCCGGTCATGCTGGAGGTAGGCTGGACCCCAAGCTGCCACTGGAACCTTCTAAAGGCTAATCATCTTGAAAACATCTGCACTATACACACAAAGGCCTTTAGGTATTGAGAGTCCCAAAACATATCTGTTTCTATTAATGTTTCTACCATTCTATTCTCCAGGATTCAGACCAGGGGCCTCTTTTCAGGATCCTACAGAGTCTAAGACATACCTCTTTGAACACATCCATTCCCCAAGCTAGCTAGACTGTTACCTCCTCGTTCAGTGAGAAGACTAACTCCTTACTTTCTATGCATTCTTCCCACATCTATTAGCTGTAGTATGAGCTTTATAACCTAAAAAAATGCCAGGCTCTTAGAAATTTAGAATTAATAAAAAGAATTGAACTTTCTAACACTGGTTACTCTGAAGAGTAAAAATAATGATTCAGTAATAAATATTGAAACATAGCATAATGATTGTCTAAAGGAGACATTGACATAATAGGCTGGAAGCTTGAAGAAGGTGAAAAAGATTTGGAAAATCTACTCATGGAAGTACTCAAATCAAACAGAAATAGATAAGAAGCTATTAGCATATGTGGCTGGCCTGGAAAGAACTGAAAATGACACCACGTTGGGAGACCTCCTATTTCCCTTTCTTAACAAGCTGCCATATTGAAAAAAAAGGGGGAACCTTATTTTATCAACATGTCCCCTAAATATTCCTTTGAAAAACTGGCCTATCTTAGGACCATCTAAGCTATCTAAAATTATTTGCCTATAAGAAATTTTCCAAATTTTATCTACTATGAACCAAACGTTCCATCAAACGCCCTCCATTGTATCATCCTCATAAATTTTTCATACCAATAAATGTGAAAATCTTCTGTTTGTTCCACTATGCTAGTATATTAAATTTTTAATATAAGAAAAATGCATGGGTTAGAATCACGTTCTACAACCAACGGTCTCATCTTTATAAGTCACTTTTATTTCCTCATTCAATAAACAAAGAGTTAAACCAGATCAGATGTTTTTAAACATATTTTAGTCTTTAATATGTTATTGAAAAGAAAATGTGCATAAAAATATAAGCAAACATGACTAGATTAGACCTTCTCTGGATTAATGGGGGATGAAGGAGTAAGAGCCCTGTACCTGTGAGAAGCCCCTTTTTCCTTCTTTCCAATAAGGATACATGAAACCCCTATTCAGCTCTATTCTCAGGAGCTACAGCAAGATGACTCCTCCTATCTCTGACCAAATCATGCAAGTGTAAAAGTCCAGGCATTGGTGAAGAGGGACTATCTAGTCCATGATCACTGGAGTTGTATTATGACTCCCTCTGAGATGAGCATCATCAGAAACTGCCATAAATATTAAATATTCTTACTTTACTCAAGCACCATATTTTACAGGTACAGTGCCAGTCAATGAGCAACATTGACCAAACAAGGCAAAAGTCATGCCAAATTGGCCTTTATCATGAGGACTAATGTTTGCTTCCTAGAGCTGAGACATTTATTTGCTAACAGTAATCAGATATTGAAGAAATGCCCAGCAGTCTACTTGCAAACAATCAGTGGCTGAGCATCGATACGACTATCTGCACATGTATTCACATACATGATAAAGCACATACAGGGCAATTACAGATACTTCTCATACATGACCAGACACTTTGTGGGGTTGGATTTCTGGGTTTAAAGAATTAGTACCTTATCTCATGGGATGTCTTGGTCAATTGGTACAATACAGCACCAAAACCAAACCAAACTCATGGCCATCGAGTCAAATCCAACTCATAGCAACCCCTCGTTGGGTTTCTGAGGCAATATCAGTACGGAAGTGGATGGCCCAACCTTCCTTCTGAGGAGTGGCTGGTGAGTTTGAACCACCAGCCTTCTGATTAGCAGTCACATGCTTTAGGCTCTATGCCGCCAGAGCTCTTCAATACAGTACATATGTGTATATTCTACATCTTAGTTTGGTGAGTAGCATCTGGGTCTTAAAAGCTTGTGAGAAGCCATCTAAGACATAACTATTGGTCTATACTCAACTGAAGCAAAAGAGAAAGAAAGAAACCAAAGACTTCAAGAAGAAATTAGTCTATCGGACAAATAGTCTACACAAAGCTAGGCCTCATCTACCCTGAGACCAGAAGAACAGAATGATTCCCAACTATCACTACTGACTGACCACTCTAAGCAGGGCCACAATAGATGAACCCTGATAGGAATGGGAGAAAAATGTGGACCAGAACCTTCAATTCCTAAGAAGAAAAAAAAGACCAACTGGATTGGCTGACCAAGATTGGAGGACTCCTCGAGACCACTGCCCTAAAATACTCTTTAAACCTTGAACCAAAACTAAGCCCTGAGGTCACCTTGTAGCTAAATAACAAATTGGCTCAAAAAAAAGTAATAATAAATATTACCTGTAAGAACTGTGCTCCTTTAAAACAATAACCTATGTGAGAACAAATACCAAAAACCAAAACCAAACTCACTACCATCGAGTCGGATCTGACTCATATTGACCCCTTCTTGGGTTTCTGAGGCAGTATCTCTACCGAAGTAGATTGCCCAACCTTCCTTCTGAGGAATGGCTGGTGAGTTTGAACCGCCAGCCTTCTGGTTAGCAGTCAAATGCCTTAGCACTACACCACCAGAACTCCTGTGAGAACAAATAGTCACCGATTACTTTAAAACAAAGATAAGAATATAAGGGAGAAGTGAAACTAGATAAATGGAAATGGAACAAGCAGAACTGGAATAATGAGAATGTTTGGGCATTGTCAAGAATATAAACAATTGTGGAGAAATTGTTGAGTGGGAATCTAAACTGTCATGTAAATCTTAACCAAGAGCACAATAAGATAGT